CTAGATCAAGAGTCAATTGTGGGAACAAAATAAGGAAATATTGCATGATTTAAAATCGGGAAATTTGTGCTTTGGGGTTGTATCCTCTCATCATATTTTTTCAAATTGTTTGCTCAGCAAATAATCAGAGAAGCTCAATTATGTAAAGAAGAACTTGGCATCAGGATTGGAGGAAGGTGTATTAACAACCTTCAATATGCAGAAAACCCAACCTTGCTTGTTGAAAGTGAAGAGGTCTTGAAGCACTTGCTGATGAAGATCAAGGATTACAGCCTTCAGTGTGGATTACAACTCATTGTAAAGAAAACAAAAATATTCACACCTACACCAATAGGGATCATCGTGATAAATGGAGAAAATATTGAAGTTCTGAAGGATTTCATCTTATTTGGACTCACAATCAATGCTCACAGAAGCAGAAGTCAAGAGATCAAAGGATACATAGCACAGGGTAAGAATCCATTAAAATGTTGAAAAAGAGGGAGGTTACTTTGAGGACTAATGTATGCTTGACCCAAGCAATGATGTTTTCAATCGCCTTATATGCATGTAAAAGTTGAACATCAGATAAAGAGGAGCAAAGAAGAACTTATGCATTTGAATTATGGTGTGGGAAAGTTTATTGAAAGTATCATGGACTTCTAAAAGTAAAAGAACAAACAAATGTGTCTTGGAAGACGTACAGCCAGAATGTTCCTCAGAGCCAATGACTGTTAGACTTGGTCTCCCATATTTGTCAGGAAAGGTTGTCAGGAAAGACAAGTCTCTGAAATAGGACATCATGCTTGGTAAAGTATCAGGTCACCCAAAAAGAGGAAGGCCCTCAAATAGATGAATTGACACTGTGGCTGCAAACATGAGCTCAAGCAAAGGAACAATTGTGATGATAACACAGGTGTGGGCAATGTTTTGCTCTGTTGTGCATAGGGACACTGTGTGTCAGAACTGACTTGTTGGCATCCAACAACAACAACAAGTAAAAGGCATTATATTTTCATTTTCCCCCTCCATCAAAACTCCCAAGTATATTAGCAACAATGTTTTTGTCAAGAGACAAAATAAGCTCTTGAAACACATATGAACTAACATATTTATACACTACAAATAAAGTACAGAAATAAAAATTGTATTCCATTGTTACCTAGGTCAACAAGAATGAATCTCTCAAACTTATGTTGAGAGGAAGGCAGAAGCAAGGAAAATCATAATTGCATGTGTAGTTCATACACAATCAACATGTTATTATTTCCCAATTGTGTTCACTTTTTAATAATTCATTAAGCTGCCCTTGTGTGATTTTTGTAAACTTTTTGTTTGTAAAATAATTTATTTTTAAGAAAATGAATAGGCTGTCATAAGAATTGAGATTCTTTTATACTAGAAAGGAGAAAACAATCAACTTTAAGTGCATATAAGAACAGAAGTTAGATAGCTTTGCAGTTTTGCCTAGATCTAACCAATGCTGAAAGACCAGAGAAAGAGAGACATCTCTTTTAGAATAGTCTCTTGAGGCAGTTCATCTTTGGATACTGCAACACTTGGAATTAATTGCCATACTGGGAGAA